CTGCCGGTCCAGCTGCAGCTCGACATTTAGGCCTGACGGGGCGAGCAGGGAGGGTCAAGGTCTCTCTGGCCAGCCTCCAGGGGAGCCCAGGCCACGTCCCTCCTGTGCCCACCCTGCCACTCACCCAGCTTCTGAGGAACACTGTGTCCAGTGGCTCCTACACACACCTGGATGTTAAAGCTGCAAAGATGTGAGTGGGGCTCAGGGGTTAGGGCCCCTGCGGGCCCAGATCCTGCCTGGCCCACGCCCTCCGTCTGCTCACCAGCTCACTGGCGTCTTGGTCTTGGGCAGGTCACATTTCTTCACAGCAGGATTCAGCGAGCCTTGTACCAGCAGCTGGACAGTGGCCGTCACCACCGGCTGAGCTCTGGTGGGAGGGGGCAGGCTTGCTGTTGTGGCCCTTCCTGGCCTCCTCCCCACCCCATCCCCGGAGTCAGTCTCACCTGTACACAGCCACCTTGTCAGCCCCGTATGCTCCCACCAATAGGTCTGTAGATATTGGAAGGAGGTCAGAACTGGTCATGAGAGAGGGCATGACGTCCCCATCTTCCCAGAGGTGCCCAAACCACTTCCCCCATTGGAGGTTTGACCAGGCCCGCCCTGGCATCTCAGCCCCACAGACGGGCCAGAGCTCTCAGTGGGGCGCTGGGTTAGGCACAGGCCCCTGGCTATGTCTCCCAGCATCTCCAGCTAATGCTCAAGGGCCCTTTTTGTTCAGCTGGGGGCAGTCCAGGGCACCTGGGTATCCATTGTCATCGATGTCTGCGGCACCTCGCAGGGAGAAGCCAAAGCCAGAGCCCGTGGAGAAGGGGCTGTCCAGGACCTGGGAGGGGCGGGAGCTGAGCCCCTCACTCTGGCCCAGGAACACCTGCACTTGGCCCCGACCACTGGGGCCCCCGTAGGGGGCGGCCACGGCAACATCTGGAAGGAACAACAGCAAGACAGTGACTGTTTGTTTTCCAGTCTCTCCAGGGGCAGACCCCAGGGGACCGGGAGAGCGAGACACAGATCTGGGTCAAGAAGGCAGCTGCCCTGCCTTCCAGGAGTTTACAATTGGGTCAGAGAGAGACCCATCAAATAGGATTATTATAAAAACAGTAACAGCCCTATCTATTCAGAAAAACATATTGACATGATTTCATTTGATACTGAAAATGAGGCATCGTTATTCCTATTTTAGGTGAGAAAATTGAGTCCCAGAAGATTCAGTAACTAAAACCTATTAAATTCTCCTCCCTTTTTCCTTAGGGACCTTCACCCCATTCCACTTATACCCTTATACCATGCATGCCCAGAGTCACACCGTGGGCTTGTCATCACTAATAACTTTTTTTTTGTTTTTTTTAAAAATATATTTTATTGATATTTTACAGAGAGGAAGGGAGAGAGATAGTTAGAAACATCGATGAGAGAGAAACATCGATCAGCTGCCTCCTGCACATCTCCTACTGGGGATGTGCCCCGCAACCCAGGTACATGCCCTTGACCAGAATCGAACCTGGGACCTTTCAGTCCGCAGGCCGACGCTCTATCCACTGAGCCAAACCGGTTTTGGCCACTAATAACTTAAAAAAACTTTTTTTTTCTTGTGCCCAGTCCAGCGTGGCTCTGTTGGGTGAATGTCATCCTGTGTACCAGAAGGTTGCTGGCTCTATTTCTGATCAGGGCACATACCCAGGTTTCAGGCTCCATCCCCGTCAGGCTGCGCCTGGAAAGCAACCACTTACTGTTTCTTTTTTACATCAATGCTTCTCTCTCTCTCTCTCTCTCAAAAATCAATAAAACATCTTTTAAAAAACCCTTTTTTATTGATTTTAGAGTGGGAGGAAGTGGGGGTGGGGGAGAGGGCACTCGAAACATCGATGTGAAAGAGAAATATCCATGGGTTGCCTCCCATATTCAAACTGACTGGGGATCAAACTCAAAACCTAGGTGTGTGCTCTGATCGGAATTGAACCCACAACCTTCGGGTGCACCAGCTGATGCTCCAACCAAATGAGCCCACTGACCAGGGCATCACTAATAACTTTTAAGACCACTCTTGAAAATTTATTTGTTATTCGTCATAATCTTAATTTGTGTTTTTTGCATGTGACAGGACTCAGGATCTTTGATCCATACGTTGTAACTGTCTTTGCTTTGTCTTCTATGCAGTTTTTTTTCCCTTTTAAAAACCTTTATTGATTTTTCTGATCAAGTTACCCAGACTTTACCGAAATCGACCACTCTGACCACAGTTGAGTCCCCAGGCCCTGGGCCTCCAGGCTCTCCTGATCTTTGGCTTCCTCATCTCTTCACTTATTTCCTGACCATTTCCTCAGCCATCTTGCCCCATTGCCAGTTTGGGGCAAGCCTGGTCAGACCCCCACCAGAGCAGGGCACAAGGAATTGAGTTCCTGATCTCCAGTCTCCACTAGGGACTGCCCAGCAGCCAGGCAAGGTGGGGGTGGGGGTCTGCGCAGCGTTCTCTCCCCGTTTGCTCAGCACCTATTTCAAACATTCTCTGTTCTGTCAAGTTCCCAGCCCCCTACTTCCTTCATAAAGAGAAGCAGCCCAAGGGCTGTGCTACAATTCCACAGATCTGCTGCCCAGCCCGAGTTCCAGGCAGCGAAGGATTCCCCGTCCCCCCAACTCCTTTGCCTGGAATAATTCGAACAAATCCGATTGGGCTGCGTTAACTCTCTGCTTAAAGCTCTTCCTGGCTCCTGCGGCTTTCAGGCCAAATCCCTGGTCTTTACTGTGGCTGCTACCCCCGGGCAGCGGTGGGCCCCCCCTCTTACCGTTGTAGTTGTCCCGGTTGAGGTCGCCCAGAGGCGCGATAGCTGAGCCAAATCGCCCATAGAGCTGGGTGCCAGTCAGGAGGAGGCTGGGGGTGCCCAGCGCGTGGGAGCCCCGAGGCTGCAGGAACAAGTACACGCGCCCCACCTCGGC